CTATCCGCAAAAGTTGGCACTAAACTTCGCCGACAAGCGGCGGTCGCTCGGTCGGTATAGTTCGCTTGTGGAGTAAAATCATGGAGTAATATGGGATTCAGATGCACATTGCCTGGATCAGTAACTTCTCCAGCAAGTTTGTTAGGCCGGTCAGTCTAATTGATAGCTTGTAGGCGCTTTGCGGTGTGTCTGTAGCATGCATTTCGTCATTCCTGGTTTGTCATGGGAAGGGTGCAGGTTGCTAGGAATACGCTTTACAGCATAATTCTTTCTGATATAGGGGTTCATACACTATATTTTCATTTCATTAATTTAAGCAAGAAAGGAACAGGCGTCGATATTTGAAATGTTTATGAATTGCAGTAACAAAAAGCATCATGTAAAGAAAGCAGTCTTCTTGGATTTTTCACCTTGTATATGTGGTGTTAACCGACGTTTCGGAGGAACGTATCGCCTCTATTTTCAGGGTAGAAGGAAAAATATAAGAAATCCGAGAGCGAAGATGGAGGCGATACGTTCCTCCGAAACGTCGGTTAACACCACATATACACGGTGCCAAATCCCAGAAGACTGCTTTCTTCATAGTCACCGCCGTGAAAACCTCAATCTTACACAGCATCATGTAAGTTTTAAATTTGGAATGAATATATAATATTAATTAAGAAAAACGTATGTTCATCATTTAGAAGTCCTTAAGTTGTGAGCCCATTGCTTCGTTAAAGAATAATGTTCTTTCACGCCATCCCCAGGGACGATTGGTTTTAACCTGTGAAATCTGTGATAAATATCTACAAAATTTTACTTGAACAACTTTGGGAGACAAGAGAATTTGCTAGACCTGTGTGGTAAAATAAAGCCTAACGAAGTAATAGACTTAAAGAAATGATGTATGAGGAAGGTGGCTCAGGATAGGCAGAAGTGCGAGTTGTTTACAACGTAAACATTGAACGTATAAGAATTATTGAAAGAGCGCAAATAACCAAACAACTAAAACACCTTGTCTGATAAAATTATTTAAACGCATATTCATAACTGTAAGTGGACTGGTCAGAAGAAATATAATCGCATCTGAATAAGTAACGTAAATACCCCCTAAAATAAATAAGAACCAAAAATTAAGCAATGGATATTAATTAAGGTCCAGTGATTGAGATTAGCTTGATCTAAGGGACCCATCTGTATAGGATACAAGAACCCTCCTTACCTTTTAATTTTTTTCCCAGTTTTCCCCGTTTTTACCTCCATTTTACTCACCTGAGGACGGTAGCAGATCCAGCTGCCGAAACGTTGTGGTTCAACTGACTGGGACGATGGATACAGTCCAGAATTTTAGTTTTAATAATGGATATTAATAATAATAAGGATGAACGTGGCAATGGGCCTTCGGTTTCAATAGAGATCGGGTTTTTCTGAAATGTTTATAAACTGCCAGCTTCCTGGATTTACACTGTTTATTACTGTTCATGTTAATATTTAACGAAATGCAAGTTTAAAGTAACAACAGCAGGAATTATTTTACTTGAAATATCAAGGAATTCCGATCACAGTGGCCGCGCGGTCTAAGGCATGAAATTTCTTCGCTCGCTCGAACGCTGGGATCGTGGGTTCGAAACACATTCGAGGTATGGATGTTTGATGTGTTTATGAATTTATTCTGTGTTTGTGTTGACCTGTGTGACGGGCATATCACTCGTCCAAGATGCCCTACCATCTGTGTAAACAAAAATACGAAACCGAAGAAGAGGCCAGGGCCCAACAAAGGGCTGTAGGGCCGTTAATGAACGAATGAAAATGAAAATGTCGAGGAATACTAAGCTAAGGTAAAAGGTAAACTTGTCCCTGTGCTTAACTAATTAATCACTACCTCCTGGATGCATATGGTGGAGTGCATATATAGATCCACGTTTTCTTGACCTCGACATTAGTTGGAGGTGAGTAGTCAGCTTCACGCCCCGGCCGCTTTACCACCAGGAAAGAGCCCCCGGTACGCATTGGATAGGAGGCTGGGTCTGGACAATATGGAGAAGAGAAAATTCTTGCCTCTACCGGGACTTGAACTGCGACCCCTCGGCCATCCAGCCCGCAGCTAGTCGCTATACCGACTGCGCTATCCTGGCTCCCTGTCAAGTAATACACATACGTAACAAATTGCGAACGCTATCTACGTGTAGACTACTACAAGTGACGAAGATTAAGCCTATGTCTTATAATTTAGTAAACCTTATAACACTGTAGCATAAAGCTTAGAATTTGTGAGCACGGTTTTCCGGCATATGCGCATGCCTCTTTTCTCTCGTTCTGTCTGTGTGTGGCATTTTTATTGTTTGCATTCCTTTGCCTAAATACAACTGATAATATTAATTTTACAAATTCAGCCGTCAACGCAACAAATGTTTATTAATTTAAATCAAACTACATGTTTTGATCCTTAAAGGGACATCTTCAGGTGTCCTTAGATACACAATTAATTATTAAAAAGAGTTAATTTAACATAAAAACTCATACCTAAACCTAACTGAACTCAATATCCAGTAAGTAGTATATAAGTAAACAAGAAAAAGGAGACATAGAACATACAAACTTTATGGTTTATGTTTGTAAACTAGAATTATAGCAATTAACACTAGCAGAATGATAAGAAATATTCAAACAAGATCATGCGTTACAATTAAATAATTGTGTAACTAAGAACACCTGAAGATGGCCCTTTAAGAGTCTAAATATGTAGTGTGATTTAAAGTAATAAACATTTGTTACGTTGACGGCTGAATATGTAAAATTAATATTATTAGTCTATGTATGGAATTTATGTAAGGGACCACTTTCTCATTCCAGAGTAATATTGGCCAGATCGGAGCATGTCGGATTGGGCAAGGCGTCTGCGCAAAGCGACTTTATTCAAAAATGGGAAAAAATTAGGTAAGTGTATTATTCTTTTCTTTTTTTTTAAAAAAAGTTTATATTTACTTGTCCAAGATATAATTCCGTGTTGGAGGGGCGGTTTATACAAGAGACGCAAAGAAGCATTAAGACAGAAGATGACGCAGCACGGGGATTTGCATGGATTATACAATGCTGGAACTTATCCATCAGTACACTTTCTGTTTTCGGTCAAATTCGGGTTTCCTCGGCGAAGGAAGATACATCTGTCTCCGAGAAGTGGCAATAGAAAGCTGCATACACACAGGACGCCTCCAGAACTGCCTCTGACTCCCCTACACACGTTACATCCCCCCCTCCGCCCATCTATCTCTTGCTATATGTGTGTCCACGTTACCATGGAGCGTGCGTCGTTTACCACCCCCTCTCTCCTCTCTCAACCCCTCTACATTTTCCCTTCCCCTCAGACGCCAGCTCTCCGATGAGGGCTATGGGGTTTTAGGGGTAGGAAGGGGGTTGTATGGAGAGCGAGTGAGAGAGAGAGAGGCTACGGTTTACCCCGTATTACACTACTGTTAACGCAAGCCCATGGAAGTCTAGCCCCTAGGTTGGTCGTCGTGGTGGGACAGAGACCTCCCCTGCACTCCCCCCGGTCACAATATACTAGTGCACCTACTAGTACATATAACACTACATGCATACGTTTGTGCGTGGGGCCGTGAAGTAGGGGGTGCCGTGTTATTGTATTATGACCTGCACTAAGGCACATCAGTGCTCCTGTTGGCGTGACACAGAAACTACCCGTCGTCTGTTTGTAGCGTGTGATTTTATTTCGCTGGGGAATCACATGGGTCGTGGTACTTTTTTTAGTGCTAGGAAGTTGGTAGGTGGGAGGGGAGTTGTGTAAGTGGGGTGGGGAAGGAGTGTTTTGAACAAGGAAGTGACCCAGCGTCCAGTAGCCGGGCACACACGCGGCGTCTCTTCAGTGGTTCTGAAGAGAGCATGTGAAGATGTGCACTTGAATACCTGCTAATTGTTCCAGCTCATTCAGGGTGTCCGCCTGCGATATCGCGTACCGGCAGCTGTTAACTCAAGATTAAACCAAGTGGGAACAAATTTGTCTCTAAAACATAATTTCTCTCTCGGACAGGCCTGAAGAAACTAAACCGATCCAGTGACAGAATAACAGTACTGGCATTTTCGAGTTCTCTTGTCTTCTTGTCATCTTCCCGTACAGAAAATTAATCGAACGGATAAACATTACTCAACATGTGTCGTCACTCCGAACATATTTCTACACTTCGTCATTCATAAAAAAGTTATTTGTGTACTGCGTTTTTCTTTTTTCAAACTCCCGCCGATTCATTCATTTTTTTCCCACCCTCCCTCCAACCCCCCGCCCTTCACTGAACGCGACGTGATCGCGAGACGGGACGTCTCTCTTTTTTTTTCCATTCATAAAACAAGTGGGGAAAAGAAGTGAACAACTCTCAGCGTCCACCATGACAACAGAAGCTGCGTGAAGACAATGTCTCCCCCCAATCTATCAACACGTGCGCCACGGCGTCCGGCGTCGTTGTCAGGGATGCGACGTGCTGGAAGTTTCAAATAGGACGACGCGGCATTTCACTAACCCGCTCTGTCACAGGTAATCTTGTTGACACGTTAAAACAGAAATGACAACCTCGCGGTCTCTCTTAACATGTGAGGTGACTGTTGCTAAGAAACGGATGGACTCGTGAAGAGTAGTTGTTATAAAAGAGGAAAGTTCGTGTGTTTGTTAGTTTGTTTGTTTGTTTGAAACAGTTGAATAAGAGCCTCAGCAATGTATGGAGAAACATTTTGTTGTTACAGGATTTACATCAATATATCTGACCGGTACAGTAAGAGAGAAATGCAAAGAAATGTGTTATAAGTCTTGAGAAATGTCGTGGTGAGTTGCAACTTGAATCTGTTGTTTAGTCCAGTGCTTACCGTGTGATTGTGTGTGGGTAACAGAGGCAGGGATAACACCCTCCTCTCGCTTAACAGCCAAGACATTGCTTCAGACGTCACAATTTGGGGCACCAAGACTTTGTCTGCGGCCGCAGTCTCTTCAGACTGTAGCAAGGACACCGGAGGTGTCCTCAGCGGCCACACACCCTCTTGCGGGGGCGACTTTCGGCGCCCTGCCCCATCCTCTTCCCTCAGCGTCATCGACCCGATGCACCTGACAGCGAACACGGGAGGCGCCACGACGGCCGCCGCGTCTCCTGAAGGAAGCAACGCCGGAAATGGTAATATCCTCAATGACACATACACAAAGATGACATCGGACATCCTGGCTGAGAGGACGTTGGGAGACTTCTTGTCGGAACATCCTGGTGAACTTGTCCGGACAGGAAGCCCTCACTTCGTGTGCACGGTCCTCCCGCCGCACTGGAGGTCCAACAAGACTCTTCCCGTCGCATTCAAAGTGGTGGCTCTGGGGGACGTGCTGGACGGCACCCTGGTCACTGTACGGGCCGGCAACGACGAGAACTACTGCGCCGAGCTTCGCAACTGCACGGCGGTCATGAAGAACCAGGTGGCCAAGTTTAATGACCTCAGGTTCGTCGGCAGAAGTGGCAGAGGTGAGCCCCCCCTCCCTGTCTCAGAGAGAAGTCAATGTCTCGAACCCAGATAGTTGTCTCTCTAAATGATTTCTGAACCTTGAAATTGATGGAGATTTATTTGCTCTGTTGCCGTTCTTCCATATCCAGTGCAGAAGATGCACTGGGATCGCAGCATATAGTTACACGTACTAACGAGCTCTCCCCTGGTCTTCTAGGTTACCGCGGGCAATATAATAGGAAACAGCCACATTTACGCTCTTAATCTTTAGATATAATATGTTTGATATAATATATAATATATTTGACGTTTTCTCAACGTATCTCTGTAAAGTCGAATTACTTTCTCCTTAACAAATTAACTAATATTGTCATAAAGACCCTTATGTCTATATCGTGTTTATAGAGTAAAGTGTTTGGACTTTCATAAATAATATTTCTTGAAAATAATCACAGTTACACGAAGGTGAAAACATCCTGTATACATTAAAGCATTCCAATGGCTCAATACTGATATAGCTTAGAAAATAGATACTAGATTCATTAGTAGTGAATTCATGGTTCATTAATTGTCTGTAAAGAAAGCTTAGGAACTGTTTGCATTTATGATTAGAAAATTGTTAGTATATTTAAACCCATAACGGTATATGAATCGCCCAAATATCATTTTAAATAATGCTTTGCGGAAGTACATGTATAATTGTGCGTCGTTTTTTGTTAAGTCGGAGTATATTGTCACTCTGGTTACACACAATTCATGATTGCTTAAGCTGGCAAGTGCTCACAACGTTTCACGTGTCAGTATAAAGTTCTAAACGGCTGGCTCGCGTACCGATTTGGCTTTCTGAGTTGTCGCGTTGACGCTTCCTCAAAACCGACGCACACAGTTCATGTACGTAAGACTGAACTCCCGTCCTGACGACCTAAGACGGCGCTGGTTACCGGCAAGTGCCCAAGTAGCCGGCCGCTAAAACGTCGTCCGCGACGTCGCCGTCTCTACTTTGCAATGAAAAGACGCTACACGCCTCGACGCCTGACAGGCTTTTGCCTACTTTACTTTTCTTTTGAAAGTCGCGGTAGAAGACGATGATGATAAAGGAAAGGGGATGAAAGGGGGGAAGAAACTCTCTAGAAGAAGGGAAAGTTCCCTTTCCAACTTCAGAAGTAAAGTTTTTGCGCATGGCAGAAAAATGTTGGCTTCTCTCTCGGTCGTACTTCCTCCCACCCCTCAGCGGCAGCATATCGGTGACGGCGCTTGTGGGCAATCAGTGGGCCCGACACGCTCTTCTATTTTCACCCCCCCCCCTCAACCCCATAACCCGGTGTTTACATATGACGTCTTGAAGTCTCTTCAACTTCCTTGCTTGAGGGTTTTGTATAGGAACCCCAAAGTTTCGCCAAGCTTTAAGTTTGCACTTGTGACGTTTGTTTACCATCGAAGGGCGACACAAGGTGACAGACAGGTCCCTCCTGGATAGCTGTTGCTATTAACTCCCGTTTCTCGACAGTGATGCGGCCATGCTTCTGCAGCCAGCTTCCTGCTCTTATTAGCGGCTTGCAATAAAATTTCATTTCTTTCATGAGGAATTGCAAGTGTTTGGGGGAACAGTTAAACACATTTGACTTTGTTCTGACATCTCCACGGAACCAGCCGTTGTCATGCCTGGAAGAAGCCAGATTTCAAGAATTTCAATTCCAGTCTTCTAACGCGAGGTGTCTATCTGCTTTGAGAGATTAATGTTACTAAGATGCCGTGGGGAAAAATCCCTCTCATTCTAAGTCTGTTATTAGATTTGTTGACGAAATTCATGATAGTTTGTTGTTTATGCTGTGATTTCCTGGTGGATTCTAAAGGGTTGTGACGATGATGCAGAACTCAGGATTAATGGGGTTTTGGACTTTGTCCACCGTCCGCTATTCTAAATAACACTGAATAACACAACGTTTCGGAAACTGGATCTGTTTCCGTCCTCAGGTGAGGGGGGAGACACCTGCTCTATTCGGTCCGTTAGAATCAGCTAACGGCAGTCACTATTCCTGTGTTTTTTCGAATACCGGACGATGGACAGAGTCCAAAAACCAAGTAACCCCTACATAAGAGGATAGAAACCCACAGGAATCTGTGCCGTTTTGATCGGAAATCCTCAAGGAAGAGGCTGCGTATTCCACATTAGACATACTTAGCTGTAGATTTGTATTCGGAAAGAAATATTTTGAATTATGCGTGTTCTTTCTAACGGACCAGGTTTTTTGGATGAGCTTTATGTAACGGACCCAGAAATTTGGATCAGCTTTATGTAACGGACCCAGAAATTTGGATTAGCTCTTTCTAACGGACTCAGTGATTGGGATTAGTCCTTTCTAACAGAGCTAGTGATTGGGGTTAGTTCTTTCTAACGGATCCAATGGTTGGGATTAACTGTTTATAATAGACCCAGCGACTGGAATTCCCTTTTTCTAAGGGATCGAATAGAGTGTCTCCTGCCTCCTCACCCGAGGACGGAAACGCACCCACTTTCCGAAACGTTAAAGTACAAAACCCAATTGATCCGTCTTTTTATGTAGGTAATGTAAAATAAAGAATGTCATGTAAAGAGGAACTTCGTGAATAATACAAATCACTCGTATCAGAGACAAAGATAATGAGCTCATATTTTATTCTGTGCTTAAGTAAACTCTTAGGCTCCATAAAAGACGAGCAATTGCTGGAATATCTGGACGACTACCAGCTTTACACGAATGACACTTCTCCATGGAGATAGCTCTTAACTGGCACTGTTACGGTGGGGAAATGAATAATTCTGTGTTTGGGCTCGACATGTGACTGGGATGAGGAGACAAGAAAGTCACACAAAATGTATTTGAGGAAACGCCTTTGAAATGGATCACTTGCAAAAATGAGAAAGAAGATGTGAGATCAATGTCGATGTGTTGCAAAAGTCGATTGTGATGATGAGGGTGAATAGAACTGGCTCAGGACCGTGTCCAGTGGCGAGCTTAGATATTGGTTGTGTTGGACGTCTCTGGTTCTACTACCAGAGAATTAGTTAAATTTCTGCTTCTCTTGTTAATTTTCATTTCAAGTATTAATTTCAGTATTTTCATATTATTGTTTTAGGAGTTTAATTCAAATTTTGCTTGGTTTTCTCCGACTGATCATGATAGTGCAATTACTCTATATATTTATCTAACGCCGCTCTTTGAGGTATGTGAGAGCCCTGACCAGACAATACATTAACACCTTCTTGGTCCGTAATTTGAGGCTTCATATTTGTCCCAGTATTTGGCTGGTTACAAAATAAATTATTTTGATTCTTCTCTCCAGATAGAAACTAAGTGTTGTAAGTTATTTAATTGGAAAATTAGCAGGCTATAAAAATCCCATAAGCTTAAATACGGAATGTAGGACTATATTTTTAAGCACTTATATTAGTACGCATAATATAGACCGAACTAATTCTGTTCTGTGAGTAAACAAAACATATTGTTACCGTCAGTTTTCCGAGAATCATATGTTATTTAGAATTCTGAAAGTGCGAATAAAATTTTTCCATAAAAAGAAGAACCCGAAAAGCGTGCATTTTAATTTGAGCCAAAATCTGCGCTTTCGAATGAAATTTATCATTGGACGGGGAAATTATCCAGGGAATTGCTGATCAGGGACATACGAAGAAAATTATTCTGTCTGGAAAAAATTAATAAGTAATTGCGAATTGACGACGTTACAAACATTTATGCTAGGAGCAGATTTGAGTTGAAAGTGTTTGTAATGAAATACAAAATTTAGTTCTAAACGCACCATTGATTGGACAGTTACTTTTCAGCCGTTGATCATTTGAGGAGACATTTCACTGAGTTCCATTCATTTCTTCCATTCTCTTTTGTGTACCCTGCACGCCTTCATAAATTTTAAATATATGTAAGCAACAAGAACTGAATTATGTAGATAATATAAAACGACCACAAATTTCAATTTCATTTAGAAATAATTAAAATTTTTAAGATCATTTTCTCACATTTCAATGGCTGCTAAATAAATCTGTTTCTTCTTGTTATAAAAGCTATGACAATATATTTATTGAAGAAAGCAGTCTTCTGGGATTTGGCACCGTGTATATGTGGTGTTAACCGACGTTCCTCCGAAACGTCGGTTAACACCACATATACACGGTGCCAAATCCCAGAAGACTGCTTTCTTCATAGTCACCGCCGTGAAAGCCTCAAATCTAACATGTGTATTGCCGAAGCCTGTATCCTCTAAACTGTTGGGCTTTATTCCCTACCGGAATTCATTCAACAAGTAATAACATTTTGTTCGCTCAGTAAGAGCCGAGAGAGCGCACTCAGTGTACCGATCGGTAACGAGACGGTCGGAGTTCGGTTCACGGTAGAACCAAGAATTTTCTTTTCTTCACAGCGTTCAGACCGGCTCTGTGGCCCAATCAACCTCCTATCCAGTAGGTACAGAGTTTTCTCTTTCACCGGGGGTAAAGCAGGGATGAAGCGGTGGGAAGCCAGCGACTAACCACTTGAGCTATGGCGCGGCCTTTAAGTGCTTGTTACTCTCTACGCTTGTATTCGGGAAGTATTTCATTTGAAACTGTGCAACTTACCCCGTAACCTGACTTAGTTTTCCCCGAATTATAAATACTTTCGTATGACGGATTATCCGACATCCGGATTAACTGCAAACGCATTAGCGAGGGTTTGCTGCGTTCACTTCCATAAGGAACTCAGATCTGTCTGTGACGTGTCCGAATACATATATCAGGAACTTTTCTTTGGTGACAGTAATGAAAATTGTGTCCTGTAATTGTCCATTCACACTTTTCATAATGAATTGTCTATAGGTTAATCGCAGATGCTTTTCATTTTATACGTTATTTTCATCGAATATGGCTGAAAAGCCGAAACATATCTGCTAGTACATCTAAGTAAATAAATTGTTGCGAGAAATTTAGAGTAAATTACAAGAAATTTTCTTGACAACGCACTCTGGGAACATAAATTCAACCAATGTC